CAGGGCCCCCCCCGCTCCTGCCCTCCCCTCCCTCGAGGCCACGACTGTACCGGGGGGGGGGGGGGCTGTAGCAGCTCTCGGACCACCTGGTGCCCGGGACGGCCTGGCACCCAGGGCCTCACTGAACCATGTCCGCTGCTCCCTACCCTGGGGCGCTCCACCTGCAGTCTGGCTGGGACACCCTGCACCCATCCTGTGCTTCTCTGAGTCTCCTCAGCTTGTTAGAACTCTGCTTTGATTTGCAAACTGTGAAGTCCTGGGAAATGTGAACGGGGACTGATGCCAAAATCTTGGTTCCCTGTTCATCAGCGCTGAGAAGACATAAGGAGACAGATTGGGGGGGAAATAAAAAAGGAAGCGTAGCTTTATTCTTTACCAGGCAAAGGGGACACCAGCTTGCTAGCGCCTCAAGAAATGTGCCCTCTGCCCTGGGGAACAGGGGAGACTTAATATCCTCAGGAAGGTCTTGCTTTTTTTTTCCTTTTGCAGAACTTCAAACCAGCCACAGCTGACATCAGGTAACTCAGTTAACTGGGGTTAGTCTTTTCTGAAGTTATCAGCCCATGACCTTCTTTCTGAAATGAAGAATGCTACGAGGGACTGTAGGGGGCGAAGAATGCCAGGTGCAGAGTGTAATTCAGTGGAGTCGGAGGTGACCGGCTTTGTGAAGGGCAAGTCCAGCTACAAGTGTTTGTTAGTTGTTGTTGTTTAGTCATTAGGTCGTGTCCAGCTCTCTGTGACCCCATGGGCTATAACCTGCGAGGCCTCTCTGTTCATGAGATTCCCCAGGCAAAAATATTGCGGTGAGTTGCCAGTTCCTTCAGGGGATCTTCCCAACCAGGCATCGAACCCGTGCCTCCTGCATTGGCAGGTGGGTCTTTACTGCTGAGCCACCAGAGACGCCCAAAGAATAACCAAGATTGCTCATCTCTCAGGCCTGTTTGTGTTGTTTGCCTAGCCTGTTCATTATTTCCTTGTTTATCAGAAAAGAAGGGCTTCCCAGGGGGCTCAGTGGCAAAGAATCTGCCTGCCATGGCTCAGTGGTAAGAAATCTGCCTGCAAGGAGCGGGCTTGATGCAATGCATTAGATCCCTGGGTCTGGAAAATTCTGTGATGAAGGGAATGGCAACCCACTCCAATATTCTTGCCTGGGAAATCCGATCGACTGAGGGAGCTGGGCAGACTACAGTCCATGGAGTTGAAAAAGAGTCAGACAACTTAGCGACTAAACAACAATCAGAAAAGTCTCATTTTTATTTAAGAAAAGTCTCACGTCTTTTTTTGCTGCAACAGAATGAATGCGACACACTGCAGAGGTTTTTAAAGTGTGTTGTTAAATAACACGTACAGTTTGAAGGCTGTTTTTATAAAACTTAACTATATACAGGCGTAGAAAATGATTGCCGTCTACTAGAACTTGAGTCTGTGGTCCTGATGCGCTAAGCATTTTGCTCAGTATCAGCTGGTTATTCCTTACAACTCTGTGGGCTGGGTACTGCTAGGATCTCCTGTACAGAAGAAGAAAGCGAGGCCCAGAGACATCCCCTGCTTCTGAGGAGCTGAACTGGACTTGATCCCAGGTTTGCCAAGTCCAAAAGCCACGCATGCTTTCACCTCCAGGCTGATCGGTGCCTCTGTGCAAATTAGGGATATTATTAGCTCCCAGCTCATAGGGCTGTTAGGAGGATTAAATGAGCTAAGAGGTGTCAAGCCCTTAGAGAAGTTTCTGGCACAGCCCGAGGGCTCAGTAAGCACAATCGCCTACAGCAGCATCTCATTGCCTCTGCGTGGGCCCTGTGAGATCACCCACCAAAACGTTCACAGTGGCCATCCCTGTCCTGGGGTCATGGGAGACCTTTTTTAAAACTTCTTCCAAAATGATCATGTAGGGGAAGTCCCTGGCAGTCCAGCGGTTAGGACTGCGAGCTTCCAGTGAAGGGGGGCACAAGTTCGATCCCTGGTTCGGAAACTAAGATCCTCGAAGTGGCAGGGCACCGTCAGAAAAACATTTGACTGTGGTGTGTAATAAGAAATACATACTACTTATGTATTTCTTTTTAAATTCTTGCCTGTGTGATGCCCTAAGTGAACTTGAGGACAAGGCAGGCCTTTGAGATATCTGGGTCATCTCCCAGCTCCCCTCAAGGCCTGGCACAGATCGCCCCCCAATATAGGGTCCCAGTAGGGAGCAGCTCAGATGGGCTTCTCCCAGCCCAGCCTCTCCGGCCACTTGCTTGGCAGGAGCCAGAGTGAGTTGGGGGTGTGGGGTGCAGGTCGGAGCCAAAACTGGCCCCAGCTAAGCCTGCCCTTTGCTGGCCTTCCCCAAAAGGCACAATGAGGTGCCCCGTGGCTCTTCCTGGCCCCAGGGGAGCAGCCGTGATGGGTGAGACCTCCGGCCCTGAATCCACCAACAGCTGTGACCACTTCAGCTATTTTAAACCCTTGGGCACCCGGAGGCTCCTGTCCCACCAACCACGCGCTCTGACCCAGCATCACAGGCTCCAAGCCAGGGATGGGAGCCCTGAACGTGGGTCAACCAGGCCTGGGTGGGATTTTATTTTTTTTTAAAGAAGAGGGAATTTGATTTCTTGAGCACTCGCCTTGTACCAGAGATTGTGCTAGTATCTTCCATACATTGTCTCATATCAAATCATCCTAATATCTAGGCTGAGAGATCACCTTGTTCACTGATCAGGAAGATGAGGAAAATGAGGTCCCAGGTCCCACAGAGGCATGACTGGGCTTAGAACTTGGGCTTCCTCGCCCGCCAAGCAGGGGACAGCATTCCTTCCTGCTCTTACCCGCTTTGTCCCTACCCCCACCTGGCCCCCACACCCCACACACACCCGTGCAAGTTCCTTTCCTGGCTCCGTGCTCATAGGCGCTATGAGACCAACTAAGGGCACATTCTTGAATGTTTCTGTGGCTCAATTTCTTCATCTGTAAAGTGGCGGGGTGATTGGGAGCGTATAATGATCTAATTCTAATACGTGAAAAGTGCCGCTGGAGCAGCGCCCAGCACACAGAAGGAATGCGTTCAGGGCCTGCTGTTCCTCCTTGTCCCCTGGCAGTCACCACCTTTGCCTGTTTCTCTCTCCCCTGCACCTGTGATGACCCGCCCAGACCTCGGTGGGGGTGCAGTACTTTCCCCCCATTCTGGGCCCCAGCAGGTGACGTGAGGGTGCTGGATTCTATGATCCCCAGGAAGGTGGGTACCCTGGCATATGTCCCGTATCTGCCACATAGTAGGGGCTCAAAACTAATTTTGGTAAAGGGATGCCCAGACAACAGTCCACCCTGGGGGCCTCAGGGTTAGTTCTGAGCTGCACAAACACTTTGCCATTTTGGCAGGTGGCCCATCTCCCTTCTGACTGGATGGTGCACCCAGTGGCTGCAGGAACCTATCAAAAGTCACCAGGTCTTCCTAGGTCTGAGCACCTTGGGGGCAGATGCACTGCCCCCCCAGCCTGACTCAGGCCTTCCCCCTTCCCCAACTGTGTGCCTCCTAGATCTCGGCTGCCCCGGAGCAGCTGGGCTCTTAACCATCTCCTAATGTGGGCCCCCTCAAGGAGGTCGCTGGGGTCAGGCGCCTGGGTGTGTCTCCGCTCTGAGCAATTGTGAGCCTGAAGCCTCTTACTCAGATGCACCCCGTCCCACAGCTCCTATCCCCCAGCAGACCTGCCCCCTCCCCTCCAGCCTGCACGTCCTTCTTACAACCTCTGCCCTCTGAGAAACACCTCACTTCCGGCCCCTTCTACCAAGGGCCACTCGGTCCTTTGTGAATTATCTGGCTTGGCTTCAGAGCTGGAAGGGTCTGGGATGGGGATCCCGCCCAATGCCATTCTGCACCTCCAGCGGGCCCACAAGTCACAGGCTGACCTCTGCAGGGACACCCTCTTTTGCCCAGGGCCCCAGTGATCCTTCACTGTCCCTGCACGGGAACATCAATATTTCAGTCCACAAACACTGGTCAGATAATCCCTTTCTCCCTAGAGCTCTCAGCAGCCCAGCAGGGGTCTTCATAGACCCTGCCCAGAACACCTCCTGGCACTCCGTCCAGGACAGCCAGAAGGGCCTCCTTCAATTCCGCCCCCACCACTCCTCACTGAGGACCCCGCTCCAGGGCTGTCATTGCCCACCCATCAATCAGCGCCTTGGCTTGACATTCTGGCCCCACTGCCACCCCCCTCCCCACTTCCCCTCTATAATATGGGCCTGATTGTTGCGGGGCTGGGGGGGCAGTCAGGCTGTATCTGGCTTCCCCATTTGGTCAGGAAGCTCCCTCTCTGCCCTTCCCCTCAGTCTGAAAACCCCTCTTTTTTAAAAAAGTTATTTATTGTAATTGGAGGATAATTACTTTAAATACTGTGATGGTTTTTGCCACACATAAGCATGAATCGGCCATAGGTGCACACGTGTCCCCTCCACCCTGAACGCCCCTCCCGCGTCCCTCCCCACCCTGTTCCTCCAGGTCGCCACGCAGCACTGCTCCGTACAGCAAACTTGCCCTGGTTTGGGCAGAAGACCTAAACAGACGTTTCTCCAAAGAAGACACACAGATGGCTAAGAAACACAAAGATGCTCAACATCATTCGTTCTAGAAATGCAAACTCCTCCTTTAAGAAGGCTCACTCCCAAGCCCTGACTGGGTCAGCGCATCCAGTCGCTCTGTCCCCGCCCCTTATGGCGTTTGCATCATCTGCCCGCGGGGCTGGGGGCGCCCAGAGGGGCGGCTGGCCCTGCGTCCTGGCGCCGGGCAGCTGGGGGCCAGCGGAAAGTGTTGAATGAAAGGAGCAACTCAACAGCTGACGTCACCCAGACCAAGCGGGGGGGGCGTGGCCACGGTTGACGGACTGGCCCGCGGCCCACTGAGCGAGGAGGCCGCGGGCTGCCCCGCCCACCGGCGTCCCGATAAAGGCTGGGCGTGGACGGCCGGCGGGCGGCTGCGAGGGGCTCACCTGCGGCAGGTGCTCCGCGGAGCGGCCGGGCGCTGCGCGAGGATGCTGCGCGAGCGGACGGTGCGGCTGCACTACGGCAGCCGCGTCGAGGCGGTGTATGTGTTGGGCACGCACCTCTGGACCGACGTCTACAGGTGAGCCGGGCCGCCGCGCCCCTCCGCCTGCGGGCTGGGCCCGAAATCGGGGCCCAGAAAACCCGAGACCCTCGCCGGACTCGGGGACACGGACAGGCTGCCTCCAGCCCGAGTCGCCCCTCGTCCGAGGCCCCCGCGCGCAGAAATCCTGAGAACCATCCACCAAACCTTGTGTCAGACTCCCCCACATCCAGAGACCCCCCCAGATACTCAGACCCAGCAAGGGCACCCTCACTACCCCGTTCCCAGAACCCCCGCCGCTTCTCCCCAGCCTTCCCGCCCCCGACCCTCTCCAGCCCCTCCCCCGGGCGACCTGGGCACCCCTTGGCGTCCCCAGCCTCTTCTCTTTCCCTCCTCGCTCTGCCCTTAGCAGCTCCCTGAAGCCCCCAGACCCTCTGGCTCACCTCCCAGCTCAGCTCGGACCCTCCCCTGACTCCCAGACCGGCTGAACTTCCTCCCGGATCGGCCTGGGGCATGCCAGCAGGAATCTGGCCGAGGGGTAGCCTCGGCTCCAATTTCGCCCTGTGGGGGCTCCGGGTGATTGTCTGTCCCCAAGCACTGGCCAGGAGCGCCCTGTCCCCAAACGCCTTCCCCTGACTTCACCCTGGGGTCAAGGAGGGGCCTTGTTCCGCCAGACGGAGGGTGCGGATGTGGGGATCTTTGTCAGAAGAGCTCCGCTGATTCAGGACCCTGTTCTCACTGGCCCTGTCTTCCCATCCTCAAACTCTGGTGGGGTGCAGGATTTCTGAGACCGCAGGCCGTGGTATGGGGTAATGGAAGTAAGCACCCCACCATTCCCGCCCCTGCCCAGGAAGCAGCCAAGTCCCAGACTGGTGCAAAGGAAGCAGCAGAGAGTCCCTGGCGGGGCCCTGCAGCCCTCTGCTCCAGGCCCTCGAAGTCTTCCCCATTGCTGGCACCGGAGGGGTCAGTGCTGAGAGGAGGGAGCACGGAGGACTCGGGTGGGGACCCCATGCTAATGCCTGTGGGCAAGTCCCCCGAACCGCTCTGTGCCTTGAGTGGCTTACTGCTCCCAAATCCTTCTGTCATCGGGCGCCCTGCCTCTCCCAGCCCCTCCGACACCCCGTCCCTGTGTCTTCCCCTACACCTTCCCCAGCCCGTTCCCTCTGTCACCTCCAGTGGCCCTGCCAGCCCTGCCAGGGCAGTCCCCTGCCCACTTCCTCCTGAGCAGGCACTGGCCTACCCTGAGGGCAAAGAGCCGGTCACCGTGCAGACCAGGGGCCCTGTCCACCCGCCGGCCCCTGCCTTCAGTTGTCCGTGTGTAAACCTCAGGGTCACAACTCAGAAGTGTGGTGTGGTCCAGGCCTCAGTGGCCCTGGGGGCGCTCCCCTCCCTTCCCCACCCCACCCCCGTCCTAACTGGGCACTGCCAGCGAGTGGGCCGGGAGCCAGGACACTCGGGCCTCTAAGCCTCAGCTGTCACCATACCCGCCTGTTTGTCCACTGGGGCACTTTTAGTGAAGCCTGAGAGGCTGGCATGATGCCTCCGTTGGGAGGTGGAGAGTCAAAAGGCATCAGGCTCAGGCCCACCCTCTGTCCTGGCAGAGAACGGGGGAAGGGTGGACTCATCCCCCCTCTAGCAGGGCACGGAGGTGCGACAGTCCCCTCTGTCCCTTCTCAAGAAGCCAGTCACAGCCCCCGCGACCCTCACCTGCCTCCTGCATTTGACCTGAGACCCTCTCACACCGCCGGCCGAGACGCAGTACACTCTAGACCCCTGCTGTCCAGTGGAAATAGAATGCAAGCCACAAAGAGAGCCATGTGTGTAATCTTTAATATTCTAGTAACTGTATTTTTAAGGTTAAAATAAGCAGGTAAAATTAATTATAATAAGACATGCGTGCTTATTAAGTCGCTTCAATTGTGTCTGACCCTTTGCGACCTCATGGACTGCAGCCCGCCAGGCTCCTCTGTCCATGGGGTTCTCCAGGCAAGAACACTGGCGTGGGTTGCCATGCCCTCCTCCAGGGGATCTTCCCGACCCAGGGATGAAACCCATGTGTCTTATGTCTCCTGCATTGGCAGGTGGGTTCTATACCGCTAGTGCCAGCTGGGAAGCCCATAATAATAATAATATGCACTTTAACCTAATATATCCCAAATATTAGCATTTCAATATATAATCAATATAAAAATTGTTCATGAGCTAGTTTGACGTTCTCTTTTTCATGCTAAGTGTTGGAAACTCAGTGTGTGTGTTGCATTGTTCAGCTCACCTCCGTGCGGGCTACCCGCGCTTCAGGCACTGACATCCACAGGTGGCCATGACCGCCGTGTGTCCTGCCCAGCACGGGTCTAGAGAGACGCGTCTCAGCCTCGGCACCACCGCGTTTGGGCCAGGACTATTCACTGTCCCCGGGGTGTCCTGGGCACCGTACAATGTTTAGCAGCGTCCCTGGCCTCTCACCCCTAGATGCCAGTGCGTGCTTAGTCGCTCAGTCGCGTCCGACTCTCTGTGACCCCATGGACTGTAGCCTGCCAGGCTCCTCTGTCCGTTGGATTCTCCAGGCAAGGACACTGGAGTCTGGAGTGTGTTGCCGTGCCTCCTCCAGGGGATCGTCCCGCCCCAGGGATCGAACTCGTGTCTCCTGTGTCTCCTACATTGGCAGGGGTTCTTTACCACCAGCGCCGCCTGGAAGTCCATGGATGTCAGCAGGAACCCCCAACTGTGACGCCTGGCAACGTCTCCAGATAACCCAGCCGTCCCTGGTGGGCCAAGTCACCTCCAGCTAAGAACCACTGGTCTAGTGGAAGGAAGCCCCTCCCCATACTAGGGAGACTGAGCTGGTGTCACTTCTGACACTGTGATGATAAGAACAGCTGTCAGCATGGCAGAGGATAAGATAGCATCACCAACCCAAGGGACATGAATGTGAGCAAACTGGGAGAGAGTGGAGGACAGAGCAGTCTGGCGAGCTGTCGTCCATGGGGTCGCAGAGAGTCAGACACGACTGAGCGACTGCACAACTGCCCACAGACCTTGGAGGTTGTGCTTGGATCATCTCATTTTGTAGATGAGGAAAGTGAGGCTCAGAGAGGTGTAGCCATTTGCCTGATGTCACACAGGACTCAGGTCTAGTCCTGTCTGGCTGAGAACTCATGCTCTTAATCTCTCTAACCTCTGTGTCCTCAGCCACTTCAGTTGTGTCCGGCTCTCTGTGACCCCATGGAATGTAGCCTGCTGGGCTTCTCTGTCCATGGAACTCTCCAGGCAAGGACACTGGAGTCCAGGGGATTTTCTCAACCCAGGGATCGAACTCGCATCACTTGAGTCTCCTGCGCTGCAGGCAGATTCTTTATCACTGCGCCACCGGGGAAGCGCCTCTAACCTCCAGTTCAGATTGAACTAGATGACCGTCTTAGCCTGTGTCCCTCCCACCCCCCCACCAGGGCCATGAGACACTGCCCCCGAGACGTCACCCACCCCCAACTGGCCTTCCACTTCCCACTGAGCCCTTCCCCACCCAGACACAAGTTCTGACTCAAACCCCGTGTGATGTCCCCAGGGTCTCCAGTCTCCAAGGAGACCCTGGGGACAAGGTGGTGGGTCTTAGGCCCTGTCAGTGAGGGAGTGGTGTCTTGACCCCTCAGTCCTGAATCACAAAGACGAGTGAAAAGACCTCAACATCCACCCCCTTCCCCAAGGGCTCTGGGTCCCCTTTCCTGAAATGCACACAGACCTCCTTCACCTCCAGACACAAGGCAGGGGCTTCGCCTGCCCCTTCCTCGGCTGGCCCCAAGGGTCACCCACCCTCTCCCGGCAAAACCGGTCCTCTGGGGATGATGACCTGACCCAGAGACATTCTGAGGGCTGGCCTGCAACAAGCTAAAAACAGATGAGCAGAAAGAAGGAAGTAGGACATTTTTTTATAGAGATTTACTCCAGGATCCTTGTTAAAGATACTTGCCGTTTCCTCTCCCCTCCCCGCCCCCCGTGCAGCGCGCTTATCTGAGGTCTGGTGCATGTCTGCACAGTCTCCCCCACAGTCCCTTCAGCCCGCAGCTGCTGCTTCGGTGGGCTGGCCTGGGTCCACATCTGGTTCTGACTTGTTGTTGGAGAGAAAGTGCTGAGTGAGCAGCACCCCCATGTCGATTTCATCCTCCCTGCTCACCTCCGCCACATCCCCTGGGAGCCTGGAGAACGAGTAGCCTTGGAATAAATTGACAGGGTAGTTGCACTCTGCCTGACTTGCCCTCTGACCCACAAGCCCTGTCCCACCCTGGGTTCACGCATCCAGCGGGAGGGGGAGTTCTTGACTGGGTTGTGAGCTCTCACTATACCCGTTTCCGAGATCTGCAGGAGCTTCAGGGCAGGAATGATGTTATCAGCCGTCTCTTGCCTCTGTAGGGCTTTCTCCTGGTTCCATCTGACCTCATGATGTGCCCCTGAGGTCGGAAGGAGAAGCGGTCCTGTGCACCTCCTGAGATTCCCCAAGGCAGAGGCTGACCAGACATTTCTCCCAGCAGGGCCTGGCCCATCACCCTCAGGAAAGGGGGTGCCGGGGAAGGAGTCCCCAGTAAAATACGGGGCAAACCGCACAGGGCAGTTACGTATCCTGCCTTGGGGGTGCCTGTGCGCTCAGTCGGGTCCAACTCTTTGTGACCCCACGGACTGTAGCCCGCCAGGCCCCTCTGTCCCTGGGATTCTCCAAGGAGGAATACTGGAGTGGGTTGCCATGCCCTCCTCCAGGGGATCTTCCCAGAGATAGAACCTGCGTCTCCTGCATTGGCAGGTGGATTCTTTACCGCCGAGCTACCTGGGAAGGCCCCAGCCTTGAAGGAGAGCCTGCCAAATCTAAATTCATCCCCACATCACTCCCTCAACTCAACTCAGATCGCGGTCTCTCTGACTCTGTTGGTGTGAGTGTTTTACAAAATATCATTAGGATCCAGATCAAAGCGCTAGGACCTGCGGTGTCTGAACGCCCCCCCAACCGGGCGTCAGGCCCCGCCTCACTGGCTGATCCCGCCTCCTGCTGACCC